TGTAACTTTATATGCTATTTCTACAATTATTGATAATGTTACTGTTGACTTTATGCCTACAGCACCAATTGATTTTGATTGTTATTTTAGCAGTTTGAAAAATGAAAATTTTGAAAAGTTACCATTGGAAATACCTTTAGCAAATATTATGTCATCTACAGATGACTTGAGGTTGGCCAGTTTAAAAGTAGAGGAAGTAGATAAATTAATAAAAGAACAAGAAGAAAAGGAATATGATAATTGGTTTCTCACTGCCACCTCATGGGGTTCAGCTGTTGGAATATTGATAATGATTGTTTTATGTTTTTGTTGTAGCCTTTGTTGCTGCAAATGCTGTCGAGAAGGTTGTTTTTGGCTTTATAATAAATGGTCACCTAGAGATTGTGTTAGACAAACTCATGAAAGACTGTGTGTCAACATACTTAATTACCCTCAGAGTGTGTCTTACACTAAAACAGAAGGTATATCACCTTCAGTGTCATTAAAATCATTACCCATAGTGACACAACCTAAGGCCAAAAGTAACACTTCTAGCGATGAAGAGAGTATAGCTCTTAGGACTAGAAGTAAACCAAGATTATTTCGATAAGATAATTGGAAAACAAAAAGAGAAAAGAGAAAAAGTTTTCACCAAAAAGTGTAGGTAAAAACTTTCTTAAGGGGGAAGGTGTAATATGTACTGTACTATTTACCTTGAACCCTCCTCCTAAATAATTATGTATTTATTCCTTTGACATTTTATTATCAATATATAAGTCAGGGAATAAACAGACCAGATAGTGGAATAACTTATATCAGTATAAATTAGCATATTTTGGAAATAACGGATGTATAAATCTTACACTCAACGGATACATAAATTTGGTGCTATCTTGTGGATGACATTTGGCCCCCACAGATGTCAACGGTCAAAGGTTCTGATTGGGGAATTGCCTCATTTCCGTCCCCACAATGTGACTATTCATTCTGATCCTATATAAACCACTATCTGGACTGAAGGAAAAAGATTACTATGCTATCACTGCTGTTCACTGGAACTTCAGTTTACTCTTTGAATAAACTCTACTTGGACTTGGACATCGGCTGTTGCTGGTTCACCTCAAGGCTTCCTGCGTGAGGAACTTAGATTCCTCACCTTACCATCTGATTATCCTGACCAATAGAAAATATATCAGGAACTCTACTACTACAACTACCATTATAAACTACCTGGTAGTAACATCAATACAACAACTACAACAAGGAAAAACATTACAACATCAAGAATTTATATTGAAGCTTGATAAAGAAACATCTTATAGACTGATTTCTTATTACTTTTTCCTTGCACCTGAGCTGTTTTATTTTGTTTTATAGATCAATTTTCCATAAACTAAATATGATTTTAGTTGTCTTTGTTTCACCTGAATATTAAGCTTGAAATATAAATTACATTTAAAATATTACACATATTACTTTTATATTTTGTCATACAATAGTATATAACAAGTGAAAAACTGACACACACACACAAACCAGCTCAAGCTGAATTCCTCATAATAGACTTTTTCTAGAGAAATATTATTAATGATCTAACAAGAAAGACCGGAAAATATTGTGACGTGTCGCCGTGGGTGCCGTGGCCTCGCGCTGGAGGGGGAGGGGCCGCCTAACTTCCAGGCTGCCTGGTCTGCATCTTTCAACATCTTGGAGCGGGATGATAAACAAAGTCGCATTCCTGGGCGCAGCCGAGTTGTGAACCGGAAAGTTGTGTGCGAGGACATAGCGGCAGGAAGACCGAGTGAAGTGTTGAGCGTGCAAAAAGTGTGTCGGGTCATATTCAAAGCAGCAGACTCCAAAAAAGCAAGGGTTGACAATAAAGGGCGTAATTACCAACCTACGTCACAATATGTTTCACATGTTTTTTGCACCCTTGCAAGTAGCTATAAGCAAATTTTCTGCACAAGCTGAAATTTTTCAGTACCTTTTTAGCAAAGTTTTATTATGTTCAGATCTTTACACAAACTCAGTCTCACAATTTGACTACTCGTGTTCATTTGTTCTGCTGATGATTAATTTCTCAATAATTTAGACAGTGCTTCCACAACTACATTTGTTCTTTACACCCGAAGTTCTTTACAATGTTAATGATATTGTGAAGCTCTTCCTGTTCATAGCTCCTCTTGCTCCTTCCCAGTTGACACAATGCTTATACAGGAGTACTGGGCAACATTTACCAATCAACGTAAAAATGAATGAAGTGGATTTTAACCTGGTTTGCTAGCAGTTGGTGCATGAGATAATCTCTGGGGTATGGGATGCAAATAAGACAGTGATTGATGTGATGATCTTTGTAATTCCAGTTTGCCTAATGCCTAGTGTATATTATGTTACCAAACTTTAGGAAACAGTTCCATGGTAAACACAAAACTAAGTACTGGAATATTCACACATTGTGCCAAAAGAAAATCAGGTCCTTGGGACAAATAGGAAACCAGAGTAAAGTAACCGAAGTAGCAGCATGAAAACTTAGAAGCTTAAATAAAAAAGGAAATGAATTATCATAACCCACTGATGTAATTGCATTGCATTGATGAACAGAGAAGAATGGTCTGTGGCCCAAGACATGGTAAACCAATGAAAACGAAGCAGGGCCCACATTGTGGCTAAAATCTCCCCATGTTAAACATCACAAATTCAATCCGAATATTTTTAACTTGCCACGGTGGCCACCATGTCGTGTATCAAGACTACAGAACGGCCAAAGCAAAGATTTTGAAATATACAGACAATATGAAATTTAGAATGGTTCCAGATTAAGTTTGGGCATGTAATCACACAGCCGAAATTTACAGTCCCCCAGACCTCCCTCAACTGTGAAGAGGTGAAGGCATGATGGGTGGAGAGCGCATGCCCACAAGCTAACAGCCGAGACTGAGGTGCTGTCATGATGAAGATTTCCAAACCACAACACAGTACAAAGCAGGTTGCTTGGAAAGATAAATGTACCACATTTTGTTAAAATGGAGAAAGTAACTCCTTTTGCTTGTTGGTTTGAAGCCCATATGATTTGCCAAAAATCTCATCATACCTTGCTGCGACGACATACTTTTGTTTAAGCTTGATGATAAACACTAATATTATCAATAAAGTACCACTACCTAATTCTATAATTACAAGAAGAATTAATGACACAAGTTGTGACAAAGTGAGTTGAAAGGATCAAAAGCAATCATGGTTTTACTATGCAAGTTGATGAATTCACTGGTTGTTGCAGGTTGCTGGTCCTTCTGTTGTGCTTGCATTTGTGAGACACATATATAACAATAATATTGAAGAGGAAGTAACTGTATGAAAATATTTGCCTATTAATACTATATAAGAAGATACTAATTAAAATATACAAGGCTAGAAAAGGCTTTAGTTGGAAAGTATATTGATATTTGCAGTGGTTCAAGAAAATGCATAGCTTTATTGCCCATGTCAAAGTCATTGCACTAGTGATAGATACTTAATGATGGAGTTGCTCCAAAGGAATGTATCCCTCCTAAGAACTGGCAGCTATTTGCTGCTACCTGAGAAGCAATGAAACATTCCCTCATAAACTATTCAAAGTTCCGTCTCACAGAGTTTCGGAATGAAGTTGCACACGCCACACTTCTTTCTGCCAATGGCAGTCACAAACGAATACAGAAAACACCAACAGACAGCTTACAACGAAACTGCATTGTTCGCAGTCTGCTCCATGCTGCTGTACACTACGTTGCCGAAGTGTTTTGTATGAAACTTTATTTCCCTAATAATTTTTTCTTCACTACTTTGTAGTTAAAGTATATAATATCTAATATATGTAATAAATTAATGTCACCTCCGTTTTAGTCCCTTATTATAATATCCAGTGACATACCTTGGTTTATTATTTATTTTACTTAATTAATATTGAGAAACAAAAGATGAAGATTGTGAGTAAAAATTAACTACCAGTATATATCCTCCAGCAAAGTTATTTAATGTACGATTTAGATAGTACTAAATCAATTTCAGGTACAACATGGGAGCTTGATGATTGATTCCCCCCCCCCCCCTTCCCAAACCCAGCACCTGTCCCTTAAAAAAAACTTTTTGGAGAAATTAAATATGAACTACTATTTATATTTCTCAAACCTTAGAACTCCTACAGTTCTAATGCAAAGCTAGTTCTTAAGCTACCTACAGACCCCCATGAGGATAACATGGGGCATATTCCACAAAAGTATAAACTAATAAACTACAATTTACAAATACAAGTTCCTGAACAATTCTGTTCCAGACTGCAGTACTAGCCATTATTTTTGAAGGTTTTACTGTGAAACAGATTCCAAGTGCATTGAGAAAGTTGTTAGATGATAGTAAATTTTATAAAATCAAGACCATTAAATTTAAGAAGTTTTTGTGTAATAATGAGTAGCATGACAGTGTTCTTCTGGATTGTGATACAGCCCTGAAGATGGTGATAGTATGTTTCTCTGAAATACTGGTTTCTGCCTACAAATCTGCATTACATCAGAACTCAGAACGATACTGTCATCTTTATCATGGTGAAAACCTCATATTTCAAAAATGGGTAGCAGTCAGACAGCATAACTGCTGTGTAGTGACGTCTGACGTAGAAATAATAAAATAATGAGGAATTAACTGACAATTCAATAGACACAGGTTTGAAAGATATATACACAAATATTTGGGTACCTTTGGGCTGGTCTCAGGGAAGTGTTTCTATATATTTCAAATGCAGCTGTAAAGAAGTTACTTCCATTTCCATCAACATATCTGTGAGAGACAGAATTATGAAGATATATAACATATATTAAATGCTGACATTAGCTTAATGCAGAACATGACATGATGTTTTCAAAAATTATACCCCAAATGTCCTCTGTTGTAACCAGTAAGCAGGTCCACCTCTATGCCATATTTCTAAATTATTTTTATGGTTTTAAATAAAAAAGTACAAGGTTTCCAGAAAAATAAGTAAGCATAAGTTGAGGTTTTCACAAAAATAATTTATTATCAATCAGCAGTAGAATTTTGAGGAACACTTATGTAGAGTGAGAAGTGTTGAATGTAAGCTTCAATTTACATACAAACAATTACTGATATTAGTCACATCATTCAATCAGGAAACTACAGCACAAGAATTTGTGTCACATGTAAATGAATGTCCTATCTATATGTTATCTGGACATTTTTTCTCCATGTCACCATAATTTAGTGCCCATACTCAACATATAATAAACATATATTGAGTTGTTTTATTTTTTTTTCTTCAGCTGAGCTCTTTGATCATCTGATGATATTTTGTTTGTTTTGCTGATTACTTCATCCAGTCTGTATAAGTCCTTGAGTGACATTTCTCCACTTCCTCTTGGTAGGGGCTTTGGTTGTGAGGCATCTGGTTTCCAACCAAGCATATAGATAATCTGGAAAGTAGCAGGTATAGAGCACTTTCCATCTTGCTCTTTTCCATACAGCTGCTTATAGATGGCAGCAGCAGCCACAGCAGTATCACGCCGTAAATGTAATTTCCTGTTGATAAAACAATTTTACCATGTAAAAACCTTCATGTAATCCACAAAATTGTGATGTTGATTGGCTTGCAATATAAGATTTTAGGCTTAACCTTTAAAGACCCAGCATGGCTTAAAACATGGCACTAATATCCCTAGTTGGTACACCATAAACTTTAAGACATGGCACACATATTAACATGGCTCCATGATCATTAAATTGGGCTCTAATCCATGAAAACTATGTTAGTATACCCTAGGTTGACCACATAACCTCCTTCAATTTTGTCAAAAAGGACCCTTCACTTTCTTTTACAAATATTTTTACACAACCTCCCTCAACACTTAACAGCTAAGATTTGCAAGTGGGAATTACCTTCTTATTTTTGGTTATGCTCTGTAACTTTGAAATAAATATTAAGCACAAGGCTGCACACCGATAAATGGTACTCAGATATTTGAATATAATGTTTATTATTTTTACAGTGCACTTTGAAAGACACATATTTGTGTGCTTTATTAAGGGATTATATGCAATTAAATACTTATGTTAACAATTTTCTTGTACAATTTTGGGTTTCACTGAAGTAACAGATTCTATAAGGACTTGTGTCATTTAAAGGCATTCCAATACATGCCTGCTCTGATTTAATGAATGATTTTACCATACATAGGATTTGAGGATTTCATGACTGCGAGTCTGAAGATGGTTGTCTTCTGGGTGGTTGTGCAGTGTTGTCTGGTAGAAGTTTACGGGCGTTTCAGAGGTCCTTGCTGCCTCCATCGTCAGGGTGATGATGATGATCACCTCTGAAATATTGGTAAACTTCTATCAGACTACACAGTGCAACAACCCAGAAGACGATCATCTTCAGACTCACCGCCATGAAAACCTCAAATCCGACATAAATACATAAATATCACATAATTTTTCAAAGTATTAATCTAAAGATAGCAGAAAATGTTAATACATTCCTTTCAATTACAAATAATCTTATATAGTGAAAGCTTGAGGAATGGATCCAAGCAATGAAATGAACTCTTCTAAGCAACGTGCAATTTATTTCATTGTTGTATGTGGGTTTTTAAGAAAGATACCTTGTTTTATCAAAAAACATGCACAGCGTAATATAACTGTGGGGTTTAATTTGGGCCATCAGGGGATACAGGGATTTAAGAAAGCCTGGTAGTTTAAAGGTTAATAACTAAATTTATTTCTGTGTTAAATAGTACAAAGCCTTTATAAGTATCACTGAGAATATATTCTGAGAACTTTGCTGTTATATTTCAGGTCAATATTAAAATTTCATGACACCATTTCATGAAAATTTAATACCAAATTTTTCAATTAGCCCATTAAAATAATTTGTCACTCAACTTGGATATATTACTGAGCCTTAAAAACATGAGAATGATGACTTAAAATTGGCAATTCTGCTGTTTTATAATTATTTATTTTTACATGCTACAACAAAAATTCTCTATCAAAAATTTTGGAACAGATCCAGTTAACATTCTATGTTGCCACTTGAAATATAGGTGATGAAATATTGGGCAATCAGGCTTAATCATTTTTAGTTATGATGAATTAATAATTAGTATGAACTGTTCTTAAATAGATCAAACTATGAAATTTCATTTTCAGTTTGAAACTGTCACTTTTAGATTAATCTTTTTATTAACATTGGAAAGCGTGAGGGAGGGTAACATTTTTGTATTAAAAACAAACCAACATTATTACCTGAATTTTACATTATAATTTAAAAATAAGAGTGAAGATTTTTGGCCTGTTAAATAAGAAGCATGACAGTGGCCTACTTACTTGGCATCAAATAACACCCTAATATCTTTTCACACAGGACAGTGGTGAACCTCCTTGCAATTTTTATATTGGCAATATGGGTAAGTGGTCAAGTCTCCTGGTACTAGCTGGATAAGAAGGTAAGTATTTCAAATCAACCTTTAACAGCCCAATGCACCCTGGTAGGGAACATAAACTGTATACCATGAAGGCCTTTCATGATGTTTCATTGCATGCCAAATTGTACTTATACTACTGAGATGTCATCATTTAATCAGGCCATGAATGTCTAGAGTGTTATTATTGGGGTACTGGACAAGCAAATCATTCATAAATACAAGACAAAAATAATATTACACCTGTTGTAGGCTGCATTACTCTCTCCCATTCCTTTCAGGTCCCACATTAAGTCAAACATTGATGGATAGGAAACCACAATTTCATCAGTATCGACTGTTAGCATTGTAAAGCCTGCTCTTGTAAGCAAGCTACCAATGTCCCGTATTTCTGTAAAGGGTGAAATGTGAGGAGCAATGCCCCCATGACGTTCTAGCTCTGCAAGTTGCAATGAAGAGCGCAGTTCATACAAAGTGTCGCCTCCAAACACAGCACCCATGAACACTCCATCATTTTTAAGGCAACTGTTTATTTGACGAAAGGCCCCTGGTAGATCATTAACCCAATGCATGCTTAAACTACTTGTTACTAGGTCAAGAGATGCTGGTTCGAAAGGAAGGCATTCTTCATCTACAACTTCACGTTTTACTTTAACGCTTTGTGGGCATGACACTTGTTCTAACCAAGTTGGACTCATATCGCACACAACCAATTCCTCCACATATTCTGAATCTATATGTTTAGCAACATAACCTCTACCACAACCCAAGTCAACAGCAAGTCTGAATTTCCTTTTGATGTCAAATATGCGATCAGCAAGTCTGTAACCTACTTCTTCTTTCAAATAATCGTATACAGCTACGTCTGATGCACGAGCAGCCCTTTCTCTTTGCAAAACTTTGGCTTGTCGATCGAAGATGTTCACTGTTGTTCTTTCTGCTGGTTTAATTTGCATTGGTACACTGCTTTGATATAACTCACGAAAAATAGACTTTCCATATAAATCTCTCAAAATTTTGTTCAACTTATTTTGTGCATTTAAAGATCTGTTTAAATTATAACATAACCTAATTTTCGTATATCTGTCACATTCCCATATGAATTCGGTTGAATGTATTTTGAGAAAACGACGTGGTGTACACAGCACTGTACTTCGGGCTGCCCAACATGAAAGCATATCACGGACGTATTTCTAGTTCAGACGAGATTATTCTTTTATGCCTGCTCTACTCTGTGCACAAAGTCTGCACTTTCATATTTAACACGAAGTCTTTTCCATTGATAGCATCTTTGTGACTGTAGTAGGAGTAATACTAATTTACTCGAAAATTATCACATACTATGACTCGCGCATCTGTGGGAAGCAAATACCGATTTCACACACACACACACACACACACACACAAAAGAAGAAGAAGAAGATTACGAAAATTGTGTCACGAGCTTCCTGTGTTCTCAATAATTTGTTCTGAGTCGTCAGTTCGTAGTTGAAATTGTATAGGTGAAGTAAAGAGAGAAATACATTTGTAGTTAAAAAAGCAAGAATGGATGCACATATCCATCCTGAAACACTAGAGGAGAAGCCTCCTGAATTCCTATCGAGTTGGATTTATTTGGGTTAGTAATAACAGAGGGCAAATATTACCCTGCAATATCGGCATGTCATGTTAATGTTTTGTTGGTTATTGGTCACCTTGTCTTTGTTAATATTTTAGCTACCAATGTTTATAATAAGTGGAATGATTTTAAATATGTCAAGAAAGGTGTTCTCGTTTTCTTTGTCATTAATACAATCATTTTCAAATTAATTTTGAAAGCATTTTGTGTGTGTCAAACATAAAGTAGTGATTTAGATCTATATACTAATTACTCTTAGTTCGCTGATAAATTAGTGGACATTAGGAGATGTACTTTACCAACCAAATGTATTATTTTTCATTCAGATACATGTAAATAATTAACAAATGATTATGTACTTTCAAAACGAAATAACGTGTGATTCAGCATTTAAGTGATTAATTATGTCTGACAACGTTTTATATGTGTGTGTTTTGAGAGAGGGAGATTAAGTAAATATGTTTTTGTATATTCTGCAGGAAAAACATTTATTCAACATAATGGCTGGCTTTTACTTGGTGCTGGTGTCATACTTTGCTGTCTGTGGATAAGAATGAAGTCATACATTGAAAAATTTAGGGAACAACAGGAAGAAAGAAGATATGCTGCTTTGTGGCATAAGAGTAAGTAATATTAGAGAGGGTAATTTAATTTTACTGTTCATAAGTGAACTACCTTACTGCTATGCTAGAGTTTGTAGATATGCTTTATGTTATTTAGTCTATGATATAGAATCTTTCTTGAGGAGTCTATAGTTAGTTGGTTCATGAAGAGATTCCCTGTACTCATAATGCTTGAAGATTCATAACAGTCATCATCAAACCTATCCTGGACTCTATACTGAGTCACTTCAATTCACTTCATAACTACATATACTGTTTAAATTTAAAGTAAAATCTATATCTTGCACCATTAATCTTAATTCATTAGTTTATAATTCTGCCCAGTAAGCAAGATGGAAATTGTGCAATTTGAGGATATGCAGTTACTCATGGGCAACCTCAGTCAATCCTTGGTTGGCAGATGTGCCTTCCGCATTGCCAAACTAACGGGTTCCCCACATCATCTAACTTTGAGTGGAAACTCTCAGTTAGTGCTCTGATATGGTTAGTGAAGAATGAAATCCCTAAATCCTTGTGAATTTGCCTGATACTAATGTACTGAGGTGTGTTAGTTGTAATGCCAAGACACTTGAATTGTGAAACTACTTCTGGACATGGCTACAGGCAGCAGACCTCCAGATTGGCCATGCATAATCTGTGATAGGATGGATTTGCTGCTTGTAGATTAGGTCCTTGCTGCCAACAGATGATGGAGGCAGCAAGGACCTCTGAAACATCAGTAAACTTCTACCGGATTACACGGTGCAACAACCCAGAAGACAGCCATCTTCAGACTCACCATTGTGAAAACCTCAAATCCAATGAGGAAAGGACTTGAGAAGATATCGTATATATACTGTTAAAACATTCAGAAATGAGGAAGTTGAAGGAACAATTTTTGTTAGAAAATGCTTATTGTAAATGAAGAGATAGCTTGCAAGTGAACAATAAGTTATAGAAATGCTGTAGCATTAAGAGATATAGGAAAAAATTATAAATTGAATAAAATCAATAGTATGTAATTGGAAATGGGCTGTAGAATTATAGTTATGAGAATGAATATTATGTAGCTGGAGAATAGTACCTCTAGAAATAGTTTTATAACAGCTGTGGACCACAAAACCCTAGTTTCAGGCTGACACCGTCTTCTGTAAAGAGGTCCTAATGAATGATTGATATTGATTCAATTAGTACATTTCAGATCCTGATTTAGTTCATGCCCGCCAAGAAGCTATGGAAGCAGCAAGGCTGAGATTTCAAACTGAACATGATAAAAAAGCCAACCAACATGCTGAAAAAATGAAAGAGGTTTGTAGTAACATCTGGACATAAAAACACTTTCATTTTTGGATAATTGTATTGGTGTTTTTCATATGCTTTATTTTGTGTTTGTTGCAAAATACTATCAGCAAGGCTGACAGCCATAGTAACAGTTGTGTACTTTTCACAGTTGCTCTGAGCAAATCTTTTAAATATCCATCATCACTATTTGTGAATGTCTTGAAAATTATTTATACTTGGTCTACCTCAGGGGTTGTCACCCCCTCTATACCTACCACCCAATTATGTATCTTTGTTGATGGTAAAATTTCCTTACCGCCCACCGGTGCCGCATGTACTGCCCACCACCATGAAAGAGGTACAGCTCGAAGACTGAGTGATGGCCGGTGGTAGTCCCCCACCCTCGTTATGCGCACTAAACTTGTGCTTTTGGCTACGGAGCTCACTCGTTGCTCCCTCGTCCACGAGTATACTTTGAGAAGTGTCCAGTGAATTATTATCTGTATTCAAAGTTTAGAGATGGAATTCAAAAGTAAATTGCAAAAGCATATTTTAAAAAGTCAAACTCGTGAAGTTGTTAGCAATGTATTTGATATATGGAGGAAGAACCAAATTGGAACAACGGACAAAAACCCACACCGCCCACCATGAAAGCTTGAATCGCCCACTAGTGGGCGGTAGGGACCAGCTTGACGACCCCTGGTCTACCTCATCAGAAAATTTTAGATTACCAGCTGAAAGCAATTCTGACATGCTCTGTTCCAATAGAAACAAAATACTTCATTTCAGAGTAATTGCAGTGTTTGTGAAAGATAACAATAGTTTTGACACATGAGAGCAGAATTGGACACATGTGGAATGTTAACATGGGGTAGGTAGAAGAATTGTTTTCATCTTGAATGAATAGTGCATCAGATTCTTCCCAAATCAGCGTTTGAAATTCAGTAAGCAGAGAAAGGAAAACAGTTTGCACAAGAGCAAGCCACCTGAATTTTGAGATCTTTTTATAACAAATTAACACTGCGTAGATGTAACAAAATTTTATTTTGGTCTACACTATTAAGGAACATAATTTCACTCCTCAACATGCTGCTCCTTTGCAGCGTGATGCAAAGAAGAGAGAAGAATATCTTGGAAAGCAAGGAGAAAGAGTGCCAGTTCGAGTTGGTTACAGACTATCAGACCAGACCAGCTCTTCAAACAATGAAGGGCAGACACAAACAAAATCTTCATACCGACCAGGTACTGAATATCTTCTTTATTAATGCCCATAAAAGTGGGTATGCATTATTGGAATTTATTACCTAGGGATATTTGTAAAGTTAAGTTGCCTTATATGTTGTGATGTAATCAGTGATTGCACCATGGGCTCTTGCAACTACAGTTGATTATTTACTGGATTAATGCCTGGTGCTCCACAAGTCACAGTCCAGGGATAAATGCTTTCTTCTTCTTATAGTGAGTCTTTTACAGCCTTTTGGTCATTTATTGCACCCTAGTCACCTAGGATTTTTTAGCCTCCATATAATTTTCAACTCTATCCTGATTTATCTGTAGAGCCATCTAGTAGCAAATTAGAAGAGACATGGATGAGAAACATGGCCACTAAATTTTTCTTATGAAACACCTCTTTCATGCACATAAGGTTCATTTACATGCTGTAAATCTATGACATGGGACCACAGGCTTTAGTTCCCCTTCAAAGGAAGTCATGCTACAGATTTTTATTACCCTTAAAAATTCCTTGACCTTGGTTGGGTTTGAACCTGTAAACCTTGGGTCCAGTGTCAAGCACGCTACCACTAGATCACTGATGGCAATTAAATGCTTTCTTCTTTGTCATAATACACATCTGCACTCTGGTTCTGTCCACTTTCTGTAGTGTTTTGCCTTGTTTTAGTTACACTGTTTTTTAATGTTTTTTGTACAGAGTATACTTGTATTAGATGCATGTGGATACCAAGCAGTTCTCATGGATTACCCGATGCTTTGTTTCCACGTGGAATAAAGTTAGTTTCCCAGCTCGCCTACCTAATCATGCATGTGTCATTTTGACACATGGGTGCTTAGAGTTCGTGGCAAAGGCAACTTGCCGTTTTTCCCTGGAGAGAACTTGGTGGTTTAGAATTGTGCAATTAAAGTTATGATTTAACAAAAATAGGAGGACAGGGCAGTCAGTTCTTGACATCCAAACTGGGTGGATGTAAGACACCACTACTGACTTCATGGCAACTGCTAAGCATAGTTATTTACAGGTAGGCCTTGGAATGTCTGAGTTTGTTTAGAGAAAAACTAAGATGGGATTTACTAAATTAAGGTAGGAAAATTGAAGGTAATGAACGTGTACAACTTTTGACTCTGTTAGTGGTGAGAAGGCTCTCTGAACTATTCTACAATTAAGAACATCAAAACAGTTTTAGGGCAGAGAACTGCTTACACAAGTGTCATATTTATAGGCAGTAAGCCCCAGGTATTTAAACTATTTTCTTTATATTGTAAATTTTAAGACCTAGTTTGTAAGTGAATAAATGTGTGTGTGCAACTGTTGCCTATACATTCTTGAGCTAGGATTTAAGGACAAGTTTCCGGATGTCCTGGACTAGGCCCGAACTCCAGAAGGGCTTAGGCTTAGGGAAACGATTCTGTTCAATGACTCGGCAAAAGGCTTCGCTACCCTCACAAATTGTAACCAGACTCTATCCCGGATCGTTACATTTCCATTGACTTCACACACCTTGTGTTCTGCTTGTTCTTTTAACACTGGGTGTCCAGCACTGCAAATCATTTGTAATACTTACAGCTGTTCAAATGTGATGTACATGACCCTCCATAGTTCCACACTTTACCTGTGTTGCACCAGAAGCCAGGAGGAGACACTAGGTATGGTGCCAGTCTGTTCAGGTGTACCTACATCATTTTCACTCTCAGCTGTCACTGAATTCAGCAGACCATGTTGTTGATCCAGGTGATCACTCTGTACAGATGGACCTTCCTAGGGTGGTTGGAGCTTGGGTGACTTTTCTTCTGGTCTAGTCTGACAGTAGAGCCAGACAGTTTCCTGCCTGAAATCCTGTGGAATTGGTCAGGTGGTCATAGCTGGCCTTTATCCTGTCACCTTAAAATGTTGTTGGGTAAAGCGATGGTTGTCATGTAACCAATCTGTGAGGTCCAGTGCATGTTGTCAGAGGGAGCCCTGAGACAACTCCCTCCCAAACACTGTGCTGTTAGGCATCATGACTGTGGACTCATGGGTTGATGCTCTTTAGGCCAGCAGGAAGATGGGTAGCCTGTCTGCTCAGTCTCTGTGATGTGCTGAAACAACCCTACACAGATGCTTATCAATTGCCTTCACATATTGTTCCAGCAACCCATCTGACTGAGAGTGCAGAATGTTGGTCTGTGTTTAGCTTATTCTCAGGCACTATAACACGTCTTGCACAAGCTGAGATTCAAAGTACCGCCTTGTCACTCTGCAGCTATCTTGGGACTCTGAAACAGCAGAAGAAGTTGCTCACCAGGGCATCTGCTGCTGTCAAAGTCTCTTGGTTTGGGATAGCCGATACCTCCAGCCGATTGGTGAAGTAGCCCATGGCAATCAGGCAGTATTAGTCCCTGCTCTTTCTCTCTGGGAAAGGTCCTGCAATGTTGATGATGGTCCTTTCAAGTGATGCACAGGTGTCACACTGTTGGCACAACCCCTCAACATGACTCCTAGAGTGTAGGCACTTCTACTGCTGTCCAATCATGTCATATGTTTGTTGACCTCAAGGTTTCCTCATGAAGTTCCTGCATGGAGTTTTGCCAGCACTTTTATTACTTTGCCATTGGGAAGGACTGTTTGAGCGATCTTGGTTCTAACATTGGCTGACATCCAGTGATGCTCAGGTGAGCAATCGCTTACAACTAGTGATTTCCATTGGACCCCATAGCTTATGTATATGGGACTGTGGTTAGCAATATCCTTCCATTTAGCATGTTTTCCAGTCTTTACTTCCTGTAGGATCTGCATCACATCTTTGTTTAGCTGCTTCCTCTGTAGGGCTCCACGATCTGAACCATCAGCAGTGCCACCAGTGATAACATGCACTGTCAGGCTACCTGCCTGCCATTCTACCTTCTGGCAATTGTTACTTTCTTCTGGACACAGTCTTGGAGAGGGTATTAGTGTTGGTGTGTTTCCACCCCTTATGTTGATTAGATGTGATGTTGCACTGCTGGACACTGGACCCAGTGGGCTGACTGTTCTTTCAGATTCTTGAAACTCAGCACCCAGGTCAGGGCAGAGTGATTGGTGCACAGGTGGAACTTTTGGCTGTAGAGGTATCTGTGTAAGTGTTCTGCCTGTCTTCACAGTAGCCATTAATTCCCTCAAGTGAAACACACTAATAATGTGAGCCCTGGACAGTGGCCTTCCTATACTTGTGACAGTCCACCTCCAACACCAAAAATTTCTTTCATCTGTGTTCATGATGAACTTCTTCCTTAGCCACTTATATCCTTGTTTAGGTGCCATACAGAGGGCCTCCTTTAGGGGTTGGAAAGTGGCATCTGCTTTCTTGTCTTCCTCTCTTTAGTGAATTAAGTCAGTGGCTTGGCAATATTGACTAATCCAGCAATGAACTTCCTCTTCTAGGTACAAAATCTGAGTAAGGTCTTTAGTTTGTGTTTTTCCCTTGTCATTGCACAGCCTCCAGCTTCTCTGGATCTATAGTCACCCTATCAGGTGATAAAGTATGTATATCTGTCACATCTCTGGTTTAAGTTTGAGACAGACTTCATGATCCTCTGGAAAGCATTACACAGGTTGTCAAACTCTTCCTTGAATGTTCAGCCAATGATTATATCATCCAGGTATACCAGATCGGCTTTGTGAGTTAGGCCATGCAGGTGCATGACTTTAGATGGAGCATTGCAGAGGTCAGAGGGCATAATGGTGAAATACCACAGCATTTGGCTGCTGGAGAATTCTTTTTCCTTGTCATCAGGATGTAGGGCCACCTTCCAGTAACTACTCCTGGGGTTGAGAAACATTTGGCTCCATAGGGCACATCCAGGATGTTGATCCTTTGTAGTAGGAATGCAATCCTTGGTGATGTAATTCATCTTCCTGTAGTCCACACAGAAGTGAAGGTCCCTGTTCTTTTGACAAGGATGACAGGCAATGACCAAGAGTTTTACAACTCCTCAGTTACTCCCTATTCTTCTTTGTCTCATCTCATTAACTTCAACCTGCATGTTGAATGGCAGTTCACAAGGGGGCTGATGGATCAGATGAGCATTGCTGGTGTCGACATGCTGGTAATCTCTGTCCTTGTTGCTATTTTTTGTGAAAACATTTTGGAACCTTTTGAATTCCTCCAATTTCTGGGTTTCTCTAGTACACAGTTGCTCACAGAGCCTTCACATCCTCTGATGTTGGGCTTCAGATCATCTAGTCTTGGTTGCTGTCGTCATGATTCTGACAGGCACCTTCTGTCAAGCTGCAGCCAGTGCCCTGACTATGTAAAATCCTTGGTGACAAGCCTTCATAGTGGTTTGCACAAGGCCATTTACTGCCTCCAGGGACCCTATTGCCACACCATCACCGTCCTTGCATATCTGGCTCGAATCACCATTGCTGGTCAGAGTTATCTGGGATGATTAATAGTCATGTTTCAGATCTCCACAGAGACATTTTGTCGTGGTTCAGCCCAGCTCACTGATGCATTGCTCTGCTCACAGGATATCCATCCCCAGGATGATCTTGGTGATGAACACCCATGTTTTCAAAGTGCTCTGCCCCAGATTCAGCTCTGCCAGCACCTGCTTGAAAACTGGTATGGCCATCTGCAGAACACAGATCGACCTGGCTTTCTCTCAATATGTCCTGTGACAATGTCTGGCCTGGTAATGGTCACATACACCTCGGTTTCGAAGGCGTGGTGTGACATGTCAAGTTCTGTATCCAGCCCTCAGAAGTTCCCTTTGGATAGCACATTCAATGTGAAATGAGGGATTAAAGGTGATGATGCCAGTGTTCCACCTTCCTTGCCAGCTGTTACTCATTTTCAAGTCATGGTAAATTTCTTTATCAGTTCTTTGCTGACAGTCTGTTCTGAGGTGATGGGCATTCCCACACTGCCAGCATACTGCTCGTCCATTCCTGCAGTGTACAACTGGTGATGGCTGCATTTATATAATGGCCGTTGTTACTTGAAGCTGGTGGTCAAATTGCAGCTTTCACTGCCTCTAGCTTTAGGGCCTCATGAAGTAACCTGTTACCACCCATAAGGAGATGCTTTTTCACTCTCTTGACTCACTCTGCCAAAGAAAGCATGGTCATCTTCCTTCTGGTTTAAGTCCACAATAGCCTGACGAGGGCCCTGTTTCCAGCCATTCGACAACTGCCACAAAATCTTATAGTGACTCACTGATTGGCTGAGTCCTGTATTAGAGTTGTGCCCGGCAGGCCGCTTCTAGTTGGTGGTCTCCATAATGGCTCTTCAGAGCCGTTGCACTCTCTTTGTGTACCACTCCAGCTCCTGTTGAGGTAGATCAGTCTGCATCCTGATGAGGGGATGTAAAAGGGGCTCTCAAGTTTTCCTTTCTATTGCCTTGTCATCTTCCATTTTCGTGTTTTATCTGGCCATCTCTGTAATCAGCCCTTTTCACTTGTGAACTGACCCTGTGCTGCATAAGACAGCTTAGATTTATATTCAGTATGTGGATTTAAGGCCACATAAATTTATAAACTCCTGCCTCACCAGCAGGGATCTGTCCTATCTCCATGGTGCTGTCCCATGGCCTTTGGTGTGAACTTCATGTGTGTCTTGATGGTGAGCGCAGAAGATGAGGTTAAGTGCACCCTTCTCACTGTCCCCAGCCTCATGATCTAGGTATAACAAACCCAGTATCATTTCATGAACACTCCCATAGACCCCAAGTAGTCTGGCACTGCATTGCCACCCATGTGGATTAATTTTACAGGGAGGGTAGTGTGGTACCAATTGGTTACCGCTGAAGGGAACACGATGTAATCAACCACAAGTCCCCTGAATCCTGCTAATTTAGAGTGGGGAGCCATGGGCAGTTTGAGAGGTGAATGACTCCTCATGAGATATAAAATACTGCATACCGTGATTCCTCATAATCGGACATATTGACACTGAGAAGACTAGGAAGGACTTAAGTTTGTTTTATATTCGTGCTATGTAGTCTGGTAGAAGTTTACTGACGTTTTGGAGGTCCTTGCTGCCTCTATCATCAGGGCAATGATACACTCCTACCAGACTACATGGCATAACAAACCAGAAGACTGCCATCTTTGGTGGTTTTGTCTATCTGTGCTTCTTCCTTTGTTTCCATTGCCCCCCAGTGTCATTCAGATTTCTACCACTGCCAGCAATGTCTCCAACTACAGATGTCAATATGCTTGTCTTTTCACATCTCTTGTAACTTGTCTGTTGAGTTTCTGGGTCTGTGGTTTGGCCACAATTACATTTCTCTTCAGCTGCTTGTATTGCTTTCCTATTTTGTCTATATATGCATTTTGGCCAGACCCAATGGCACTGACTTTGGTGCATGTCACTTTGTTTTCCATTTTTTCTTGGCCTGAACTTATAAAATCTTTCATTGCCTGTTGGCCAGCATCTTTATCCTTTTTGTTGCCTCCTGGCTGGCACTCAACTTATTCTTCTAGTCCATGATGAATTGTAGTGCCAGGGTCATTCTTGCCACTTTTAACACCAGTTGTGACAATTAATGATTACACCGTCGGTTCAGAATAAAGTGGATTTATTTCAGAATAATATGAGTACATTGGATTATTTACTGAATTTATGCCTGATGCTCCAGAAATCACAATCCTCATTATCCAGATATAGATGCTCTCTTTTATGTCATAATGTACTGTTCTGCACTCTACTTCTGTCTACTCTCCACTGACTTCACACTCCTTGTTGTACTGTTAATTCAGCACTGGGCTCCAAGCACCACAACTCCTCAAAAGAGCAAGAACATGCATGTGCACTTCCCACTTCTGCTGCATCAGTGCATTAATGCAAGAGGCTGCAAGCAACTAGATTGTTGCTGGGGGTAACATCTACTCTTGGGCATCATTGTTGCTTGTGTATGTAAGAATATAAAAGTAAAAATGTTTCCGTGTGTGGGTATGGGGGTGTGTGTGTAACTAAGCATGGTAAAATAATGATGCCAAAGAACAGAGTCGTTTGTTTGAAGGGGGGATTACAGAAACAGATGCCATAACTCCGAAAACCTGACTTGTGTTAGAGTTGCAGTGAAGATGGTTTATATGTATTGGAAACTAATCACAATAAAAGAAGAGTGCCAGTACCTGAGGTATTTGATTCAGCAGCAAGATTACAAGAATATGATCTCTTTGTTACTGTTGTAATAGCTACATATCAGGAGTTTGAGTTACCCTGTCGGTTCCGGATGAAAAAGCTCTTGGATACAATTTTACATAACTGATCAACATGGACATCTTTAAACTAATTCACATTTCATGATAAAGACTAATCCCATATATAAACAGCTAAGTATTATTGACGTTCACAGAATAGAAAATGTGCATTGAAAGACTGTTTGCTCATGTGTGACTTTATTTATTTAGTGTTCTGTCTGACGACAGGTCCATATGAACAGGATCCTTCCATCCTTTTCTCGGACTGGGACCTGTTCATATACGTTCTTGGCAGATGATCCAGAAGTGATTTGCCATTGCCTTCTCCTGTGTGTGAATGGAGTAATTGTTGGAATGCCACAGATAAACCGAGGAAAACTCCGTGTTGCCTAGACCACGGCCTTGCCCAACACAAGTTATAAATTAGGGCACCGCCGGGAATCGAACCCGAGACCCCAGGATTACAAGGCCAGCGTTCTAACCGCTAGACCACCGTGGCTATATGTGTGACTTACTGTACATATTTATGTAATGCAGGAAAAAAAATTGTACTGATGTTACTGATAGTTCCAAAAATATAATTTTACAGCTTTCAGAAATCAGGGTTATATTAGCTTACAGTTGAATGGCTGTACATCCCAATGGGTACTCTTGTTAGCTCACAATTTCAGTTTTGTTACAGAATTCTACCCATTGATAAACAAAGGCAATAAAGTGAAAAGTGAAGTTGTCTTGCTACACACCATGCAGGTGCTTGGAGTGGGGAAGGGGTAGTATGGCTCCTACTCATTCGTAACCTTGTCACTAGATAGGAGCTAGTGGTCCGTGTAACACTCCAGCTGTGCTTTGCCATGACATGGACCCCAGTACCCATTTGACAGGAGGCTGGGTAGGACCCAAGAGCCAGTCTGGACACGTAGGCTAGAGGAAACATCCTGTAACCCTGTCAGGGATCAGTCCATAATCAGTCACTATACTGACTGAGCTACCCCTGCTCATTCAAAAGCAATATCTTTTAAAATTTTGATGTGAATATTTTATAAAGTTCTGAAGCTGAATGCCAGGTACTGGAAACTGAACTTTGTGCATTCAGAATGCATGGCACCACACTGTATTTGCATGAACATTTTAGACATTATATACATTTTCCAAAATAAATGTAGGAAACAAAATTCATTTTTAAATATTTCCTTCTAATTTTTTTCTGTTCCTCTTAGTCAACCTGTGTGAATTTTTAAAATTTAATGAAATGACTCATCTACTTTTCAGATACTTGATTTTTTATTATGTTTTAAGACATTGATATACAACTCTTTATTCCATCCATGTAGTGAAGACTTTTTCATCAAGTATCTTATAGCAGTGACATGTACTATGTCCAGTATATTCTGCTGTAGAGTATGTGCTGATAGAAAATGCCCTATTTGAATAAAATACACATGATACATTGAAAAATTGTTGTTTCACAGATTACAATCCACTGATGGGAGCAGGTGGGTCTGGTGGCTACAGACCTCCTCGGCGCACCTGTCCAGGTGGTGGCTGTGGATAAATACTGGAAGTGAGTGAAAGTGCCTGCTGACAATCTCTGTAGCGTTACTTGGCTCACAAACATACCCATGAAGTCAAAACTATTCCTCTGTTATCTAACAGACAACTGACTACATTTGTGCTTATTTACATTGGTGTGTGTAAGTACTTAATTGATGCTTATTTATAAAAGTGGTGAATTGTGTGCTGTTAACAGCTTCTAGTGTTCTGGCTAACTATATGCTGGTCTTCAAATTGTGGTTCCACGCATTTTTTGTGAAACATGTGCTGCTTGTACTGGGATATTGTATTGTCATGCTATGTAGTGATATTATTACAGATTTGTTATATTGTAGGTAAGAACTTTATGACATCATTTCAAATATTTAGATTTGCTTTCAACATTTCTGTGAATTTTGCAAAAACAGTGAACAGTGAAACGTATATAGTTCTGAATGAAGCTGTTCTTGCTTTTTTTTTTCTCCACAAAACTGTCTAAAGACACTACATAAATACTGTACCTTTCATAAAATTCACACCTGTTAGCTCTACCATGTCTGATTCTTTCTGCATGTAACAGCTCAAAAACTGCTGGATGGATTTTCATTAAATTTGATATTGGGAGTTTTTCTAAAATATGCTGACACATTCTAACTTTGGTTAAAAATCTTCAATAAATCAACAATTTGTTACTTGAGTCCTCTGCTGAACACTGGGTTATTGCAGTTAACAACTCTAATGTAGCTTTTTCTAGTGGTGCTATACTCATTAAGACCCCTTTTATGCTTGAATCTTAAGTGTAACTTCCTAAACATTTATCAAAGAAAAAATATGTGAATTCATTTTTAAAGAAAAATTATAACATTTTATGCTCATTACACTTTTTATGTGTCTTATAGTTTTTAAAATAAAAAATTGTGAGTTTTGTGGTGAGTCATCACATGATTTGAGAAACCTTGGACTCATTTTGATCAAATTTCATTTCCACCCATCCTTGTGCCTGTCTCAACTCATCTACCTCACATATTTTATGTTGTGTATAAAAGAGCAACAAAAGTCAAAATCACAAATTAAAAATATAGAGGCAATAGCGGAATGTATGTGCCTGAATTGGTATGTTAAGCATACAGATGAGCCATCTCAGAAATGCAATGCAGTGTAGTTTTCTACCAGTTTCTCTGTCAAAAATACACCAGCTCACGTTTTCTCTCTCTCTCTCTCTATTTTATGTCATTTCAAACTGTGGAAGGGCATGTTTCCGTGGTGATAAGAGGGCGAGAAGCAATTTTCCATGCTGTTCTGTTATACTGCAGTGTCCTATAATTTCCAGATGTGTCTTTTATGTGATAACTGTTTGTCACGTTGTCACTGCTGGTCCCATGCACCCTGTTTATCTGTCTTGTATTGTGGCTGATTTCAGAGCATTTACATACTACAGTTCAACGTATGTACTGTTCTGTTTTTCAAAAAAATAAATGTTGAAATAAGAAAAAAAGTATAATAAGTGTTGGAAATGTAAACTACATTCAGTGATGCATGCATTTGCTATTTTCCACATATGATGTAACCCAGTGAAAACTTCCTGTGTGACGTAAACAGTTCACCAGACAATCTATTTGGCACAGTAGAATCGAGAAATGTATCCCTAAACTCATTCTAGCAAGTCAAGTGAGAATGAAACACCATCTACTGTTTGACAACACTTGTTGTATTTGTGAAGAAGACATCCTTGGACTTTGACCTTTGAAAGAAAGCTGAATGACTGTAACCGCACTTCCACACACAACTCGTCTTTCTACTGATGTAGCCACGGGTTCAAACCCAGTAGCTTGCCCGGCGCTGGTGCGGTTACAACTTTTCACACTTCGGTGCGCAGAAGGGGTTAAAGGTTATCTCAGGGTACTTTGATATAGGGTTAGTCGGTGGGCAAGGATCTCTGACTCTCAGGGAATGTACGGGGGAGGCCTTAATTGGAGCGTGAGGGTAGCGAAGTCGTTGAGCTGGTGCAATTGGTAATGACACATTTGCTATTGTTGAAATCAATCAATTTAAACACTGATGCAAAAGACACAATTATGTTGATATTTAGGCAGTGCAATGAATCGGCTGTTTGTGTACTGAAACTTTGCGAACAGCACACTTCTGCACGACTTGAAACCAACACTTGAGAGAGCGCCGCAGCAACACATGCGCGCTATCACAGTAACTGTTCTTAAATTTTGAATTGAATACGGCGATCCGATTCGTCCCCGAAAAAGTCACCCCATGACTTCGGAAACGCGCCGAAAAGCCATATTCGAAATTCATTCGTCCCAGTCGTAGTAAGGCGACTGTTCTAGGGCAACCGTCATTCCACATCCGGAAGGGATCAAGTTTTCGCCTCGTTAACAACTTTTACGAGTGCGAAAGCTTTGTGAATGTCACGTCGCCGCCAGACTGAAAGTCTGGAAGAAATACGTTCAAGCGACTGATTGTCGCCACTCTCTTCCAGTTTAATACATTAAACAATGCAAAAATTAAGAAAATATATCAAATTTTTTTATGAAGTAGGGCGTACCAAATGTCACCTAATTACGCCTCCTTCGTTTATATAAACCAGATTAATATGCTAAAGCCTGGTTTATCCCTCATCACAAAGTTCAGCCTGTTCGGGAATTGAACTACGAACCTGGACTGGCACATGATTGATGTGAGCAGGTTACAACATGAAGCTTCCTGAAAATTGCTCTCTTCAGGGTTGTTGCGCCGTGAAGTCTGGTAATTTCAGTTCCGTGTAAAATATCGTACGTTACGTTCATTCAGAAGTGACTGAAATTTTCAAACCAAATTGTTATTATTAGGGTCCGGATATTCATGACTTAAAAAAACCAGAAATATGCATGCAAATATGCCCCCCAAAATAGCTAAATATTACCACAAAAAGGAAAAATATGACCTAATTTCTTATGAAAAATATTCGCTAAAATTAAAGAAAAGCGTTTTGTATTTCAATCATGTTATTTATTTACATATGCATGTACAACTATTACATTACTTGATTTCCTAGCAATTTTAATCAAAAACCTCAGTCGCTTTAAGTTGTAAATGCCTCGTTTTGGATCAGCATCAGATGTTGAGTATACGTGCTCCTATAAAAATGAGATAAATTTTAAGAAAGAGTCTTTCATGCATCTCAAATTCATTAATTAAAAATAAATAAACAAAATTCAAGATATTAAGTACCTTTCTTAATTCTCCTTTCTTGGCAGCATTACAATATATAACGATTTGCATTTTCAAGGTCTCAAATGAAAATCTTCTTAGATTGTCGCACAATATGGTCTTGTAACTTGAGACATCACAAACGTTTCATGGCGTTATCGAAAATTACAGTAAAATAGAGGAGTGGTTTACTGTATCAAGAAGGAATAAGTCACCAGCGCAATCAGCAAAGAGCGTGCCAATAACGACATTCGCAACATATCTGACCCAGACATCCGTTGTTTCATCAACTGAAACCCAAATCTTATTCCCGACCACAGTACATGTAATTCTTTTCAGAACATCTTCATAACAGGCAGGTGCATAGTTTATCCTCAGTGTTGATTCGTCTGGAATTAACTGATTCATGTATTTCTCGAAGAAAATTTGAATTGCTCATTCTTCATTTTGTTCACTGGTATGTTGGCAGACACCATCATTTCGCACAGGTCCTTTGAAAATTCCGATGTTTTGTTTGATGTGAAGTTGTTGCAGTGTTATTGAACAGAAGTTGCTCGCTTTGATGACTGGTTTATCGGCTCAATTTATTATTGTTTTGCCGTATCACAATGTTGTTGCACATTAAATCGCTTACCAGCTGTAACTTTAACTTCAAAAAAGTTTACAGAACATAATTGTTCCATCAGAACTAAAATATTCCTCGCTAAAAGTTTAACTAAACCTCTTAACTTCGCACTTTCAGAACACTTCACTTTCGTCATCTTAACTAACTGAAGGATTCACTGTAAATGCCTGTGAAATGTAGCTACAAGTAAGAATTTTATAACCAAAATATGAAGTTTATCCTCAAAATATAACCAAAATATGCATTTTATCCTCAAAATATAACCAAAATATGCATTTAACCTCAAATATGACCAAAAACATAGAAAATACCTAAATATGCATTTATATGCAAAATAAATACAGTCTAATATTAAATTAAAATTAATTATTTGGTTATTCCGTCAAATCACAATGTATTTAAAATAAGATAATTAAAATAATTAAAATATCATTCTGTGTTCCATATCGAATAATCGATTTACAATTGGAACAGTTACAACATGTTTCGGTTTTATTAAACCATCATCAGGTGTAAAATTATATTAAATTTAAAACTCAATTACAATTTTATCATATTTCGTAGTGTAGTTTTTTGGAGGTCGTGTCCAGATATTTTCAATATAATGGATCAACTTTATTGTTTGAAGTGATGCTGTTGATGTTTACATCAGTCAAGAGATGAAATGGTAGACAACGCAGTTGTGTCTGGAGGAGATCCAGAAGTATTACCGTATCCGAACAAGGTTTGTAACAAACCTTGTTCGGATACACTACGAAAGATGATAAAATTGTAAACAATTGTAATTGAGTTTTAAATTTAATATAATTTTACACCTGATGATGGTTTAATAAAACCGAAACATGTTGTAACTGTTCCAATTGTAAATCGATTATTCGATATGGAACACAGAATGATATTTTAATTATTTTAATTATCTTATTTTAAATACATTGTGATTTGACGGAAAACCAAATAATTAATTTTAATTGTTTAATTTCAGTTTAGAATGAAAATAGAAACCTCACTAAAAAAATACATGTCATGAACATCCGAACCCTAGTTATTATTAATATTTTCCCAGAACACGAATAAAATATCTGGGGAATATGTAAAGCATAGACATCAGTAATCCTTCAGTAGGTTAAGTCCAATGCAACGTTAACGCCCTACATAAGTTTGTTTCATAAGTTAAAACTGTCATCCTAATAAATGATGTTGTATGTCTCCGGTCATCTCAGTAACGATGTTTAGAGTCAAATATAGGCTAGTTTCAATATGGAGTCGTGTGCAGTTAATTTTCACAAAGTTGTCCGTTCATAATTGCAAATCTCATTTTTGGAGTTTAAAGAGTGAAAAAGCACGTGTCTGGAATATTGTTTATAAGCAGCCTGCGAATTCCTAGTTCGTCGAGAGCTCTTCCTAGCTGCTTTCGTAAGCGCGAAAGAATTAAGCGAGTTGATAAAATATATATATGGGAATTAAAGCGAGAAGCCGAGAATAGGGACAACTGGAGAGCTCTTTTTGGGCAGAGCAATGGACCTGTCGTAAGACAGAACACTTAATAATAATAATAATATATATACATACATACATATACATTATACATGCGAAACATGGGTACCGACCAGTTTTAGTGCCGTGTAACATATAGTGTCCCGCGCCATAGCCGCGCGGTCTGAGGCACCATGCTTATACATTCTCCAGACATTTCGTTCGTGTTCCGGGGTCCTAAATGTAATGACAAATGGTTTTGACAATTACACAATCATAAATGAACATGACGTACGAGATTTAACACGGTACTAAAACTGGGCTGTAATCCTGTTTCGCAAATATAATATATATGTCATGACGTCTTTACACAACTATTTCTGCAAATTTTTTAAACAAATTTCAAACCCTCTAATGCTTTCACGCAGGTTTAAGCATCTAGTAACAGCTTCCCATGAACTAGGAATTCGCAGGCTGCATACGAACGAAACTACAGATCCGTACTTTTCAAGCTCTCAAAACGCCAAAAAATGAAAGTTGCAATTATGAAAGGACAACTTTGTCAAACCTAACTGTACCCGAGTGCATATTGAAACTAGAGAATATCCGACTCTAAACATCGTTTTTGTGAAGA